TGTTAAAACTTCCAACTAATCTTACTCAAACCATATTAACATTTTCAATAGGTATGGCAATAGGGAGAGGTGAGCACGAGTCTATCTTCCCCATACCCAAACTCAAATTCTAGTTAATTATATGTTCCCCGCCTAAACCCTAAACGGTGATAAATAATTGAACATAAGACTCGCACCAAACGGATTCAAGTATCCCTTCCTCGTTCTATTCTCGCATCAGAATCAATTTTTTTAAATTAAAATAGTTAATTTTCCCAAACTCATAATATATCTTGAAATCTAACAAACATTAGAAATAATAATTTAAAATAATTTTGAAATTTTTCAAACACATATTTCATATATTTCAAATGATACAGTACAAACCAAATATTAATATATTAACTAAATAATTAATATTCTAAATTATCAAAATTAAACATACTAAATTATCAAAGAGGGTGGATCGGGGATGCGTTTGGGATGAATATTAGTGTCTCCATTACCTATTTCATACCCATATCTTGAAATTAAGAAAACCAAAACCCAAACTCACTTAAAGTAGGTTTGTACCGTCGAACTGGAGTGGTTTCATGGCTAATTTCCAACAACTGAGGGAGGTGGATTGGTTCCAGATAGTTCTATATTTAATCTCATAGGTTGTAGAAAAGGAATTGACTTATTTTATTATTTTGTATGCGAAACCATTCATGACACTTTAAGGGCCCCAAATTTAAATATCGTTAAGGAAAACCGTAGCTAGGTACTGTTTTCAATTATATTTGGATGAAAAGTGAGGTTGAAAGATCCTCACTGTCATTTTTATTAATATGGAGTGGCATTACAAAAAAAGGATAATTATCTTTAGTTTTATCCTAAATCACAATGATAAGATCTTTGGTAAGAAATTTAAGGAGGTATTGAAGAAGTGGCGACTTAGAAATATTTCTACCATTACGATAGATAATGCAGCATCAAATGACGTTGATGTCGCATATTTAGAAAATAAAATAAATAAATAAATAAAACATGAATGGAGTTTTAACTAATGGGTTTGGGTTTCACATGAGGTGTTGTGCAGATGTATTGAATTTGGTTGTGAATAATGGATTAAAAGAAGTCAGCACAATCAATTTCAAGTGTTTGAAGTGCTGTCATCTTCACTCCATAAGACTTTAAAGTTCAAGGAATGTGTAGAATTTGTTGGTACTGCATGCAATAATGCAATAAATTAGTATGTCTTAACGTTCAAACTAAGTGGAACTTGACATATTTGATGTTAGATGCAGCCAAGAAGTTTCACACTACTTTTGATAAACTAGAAGATGAGGATGAGGCCTATAATAGATTTTTTTTTATTTCTTTTCCCTAGTAGTTATGATTGGGATAATGTGATAGGATATTTGTTAAGTTTTGAAGTATTTTTATGATGCAACAGAAGTGTTTTCAACCTCAACAAAACCAATGTTTGCATACTGTTTTTTTCCACTTGGCTACAATCTACATTAAAATAAACAAATCAAATAGAGACCTTTGTGGTGAATATCTAACAGGAACCAACTTATTTATTTTGGTTTTACTTTTTAATTCTGATACAAGTTACGATACGTGGAGTGATCTTTAATGACATGTATGGAAAATATTCTAACATTAAGAAAGGAATTTAAAAAATATTAATGGAAATTTTTAAAAAGTGTACAATTTTTATAAGTAAGTATATATGTACTTCTGGAAACGTTATTCCTTCTATTGTAATGATTGTATCTCATGGTGAAACAGCTATCAGCGATGAAGTACTCATGTTTATTGATTTAGTAGAAGAAGAAATTGAGCTTCAGAACTATATCGATGAAAAATGTTGTTTAAGTTTTAACGAAAAAGATAAAGAAAAGTTTATATTCTTTTTTAGGTGGAAAAATAATATTGGTCAAAAGCTAATTATGTCTCAAATACTTAGAAATATCATGCTCACGTCAATTTCCATTATGGCTTTTGAGAGTGCTTTTGCACAGGTGAGAGGATTTTAGAGATATATAGAAACTCTTTCAAACCAAAAATTTGTTAACTCTGTTTAGGGTCTGCTGTAAAATATGAAATAGAAGAAGATGAAAACGGTACGATGAAAGTTGTACAAAATAAATTTTAAAGTGTGTTTACAATAAGTTTTAGGTTCAATTCGTCCCCACCAATTTAAGTAAATTGGATGCAAATGAGTTAACCGGCATCTCCATCAGAATACTTTGAAAGTCTTAACATCATTATACTTTGAAAACCTTAACATGAATCACATATTCACATTAAACATATTAAGCAATGGTATTTTACCGAATAAAATTTTCTCATTTATTCCCGTGCATTAGAAAAATAAATAAATGACTTAATATGATTTTTGACATTTAAAATATATTATTTTCGTGTCTATTTTATATCTTACTATATTTCTATTTATAAAAAAACTTACACCAATTGATAAGGGAAAACAATGTTTCAAATGATTTCAAAATAGCTATTCATGAACAATTATTCAAAATTAGTGTCAAATGTTGTAATGCTCTGATGGTAGTGTGTTAACGCCTTGTCCGATGAACATTTGTACATTGATCTTATTTTAACCATTTATAACATAACTTTTCAAAATGTATATTTTTGGAAATTCTCCAACAAAATTTACAAGGCTCTAATTTGTGCTCATAATTGGTTGAGGTCACCCTTTTACCAATTGAAAGACATGGAAGTCAACAAGGAGTGTGAGATTTATTAAGTATTAATAGGTATTGCTTCTATTTGTATTCTATGTAATTTTAAATTTGTTTTATAATTCGTTGTTGATTGTTTTTTAATATATTATAGGATTGACTAAAACTAGTTTCATCTAGAAGAGAAGCATATTCTTTCTCTGAGACTCAGTCACAACCTTCTAGTTATATTTGAAACAAATTATGGTTTAATTCTTTGTATTTTGTTCGAATATTTTTGTTAAAAATAAGATATATTATGTTTATTTTGTTTAATTATTTCTGTTGTAGTTGTAGTTGTTTTTTGAATTTCTTTTAAAGTTATGAATGATTCGTAATTATGAAGCCATGAATAACACAGTCAATGACTTTTGGACTTTAAATAAATAACAATTCATTCTTACATATCAGTTTGGGTAAGCATATCAATTTGGCCATGATTTATACTAATCATTTTGGATCTATTTGGCAATGAACTGGTGTGTAATTATTCAAAAAGAATTCTCTAATTCTGTGTTGATTGTAGTTGTAATATCTATAAATGATGTATCATGCATCCCAATGTAATTCTGTTTGACATGATTATGTCATCATTTGTGGTATTCTAAGCATATAGTTGCATCTAATAATCTTATACTTGAAGTAAATAATGTATGTATTTTCATTGTCTTTGCAGGAACTTTGTCAAAGTATACTCCTGGTCAACTGAGTTACTATCCAGCTCTCCAATCAGCCATTCGTGGAGAGAAATGGAGTCGTGTATTAAGGAGAGATTTCACTAGAGAAACTACATGGAAAGCTGTAATGTGTATCAGATGTAGAAAAGGTTTGTGCATTCATTTTGTTTTGAAACTATTTATCTTTTTTTTACTCCTTTTGTTTGTTTATTGTTACATGCAATGTGTATATAGGATTAAACATATATAATACAGCTGAAGTATATACAATCAAACATATATAATACATGCATTGTTGTTGTTGATATTGCTGATAATGCAGACAACTAAAGTATATATGTGTTGATAATACATCCAACTCATCTATATCATGGCTGATAGTGCATCATTGCAGGATAAAAAAATGGTTGATTCATGTTGATACTATTGAACGGCCGGTAAAAAAAAATTCTAATAGGTTCTAAATTTGGATATAATCGTTATTCTAATCCCAATTAAACTGGTTTTAATACTGGAACCGTATCAACCCAAATCTGGAAATTAATGTCTAAACCGGTCAGAATTTGAGGGTTGGTTCAGTTCACAGGTTTGGGCCCAAACTCGAGCCGAACTGAATTTGTGTACAAGCAACAACCAAACCATTTTCTCATTAGAATAACATATGTTACATGCATCAAATGATTAACTTTGACAAATGATCAAGGTTACATCTACATACAAACAAGTAATATGTATTATTGATGCATTGAAAAGTATGTTATTTAACAACACTTTCTCTCCAGTTCCCTTGCAGTGAGTGGCTCATACAATAAGGAAATACTTAACTCAAACAGGTTTGACAGAAGAACAATGCAGAAAGCATTAGAGAGGAGGTGGAGGCCCCGGTTCGTAAATAGGAGGAAAACAGCAACTTAATAGACCACAGCAGCATAGAAACCATAAGCTGAAGACATAAAATCAAAAGAACAAAGTCACAATTAATTTCTTCGTTTCGTAGCGTACCTAAAACAACGTTAGAAAAGTATATATGTACTTGCAGAATTCAAACACAAAGAAGCACCTTACCAAGAATCCAAGAATCCTCTGATAGGGGGAGCAGGACCTAACAACGGTGTGCTCGGAGGCGGAGGAGGAGGAGGATCCATTGTCACCCTACTTACAATGGTTTCTTCCACATTTCTACTACTAAATAAATATGTAAAAGTTCAATAACTTCCTTTCCACAAGTCAAACTTTCCATCTACCGTTCAAAGGCTGATAATTCAATATTCAACTAACATAGAAATCTTGTAAAGCAAACAATAAAATGGAAGTACTCACTAATTATCTTAGGTTAAAGAATGTAGTAGATATACAATTCCAATGTGTGATACATCTATCTGTAAATATATTTTCAAATTTACAATGCTTTTTTTTTACATGTATCGCATCCGATTCTTTTCCAAATAAACTAGAGCCGGAATCACGTATGCTTTTTTTTTTCTGTACAAGTAGAACAACCTGTTTATCTAAAACAATATCACTCTAAAAATCACAGTAGTAAATGCTACATAATAACATGGCTGTAGACTGTAGTACTACTGATGCATAGTGGAAGGTGTATATAGTATCAAGGGAAATTGATGTTTGTCATGGAAAATGATTCCAACCGAGGCTCCGACAGGTCTACCATGTCTTCGTCTGATGCATGCCAACTCTCACCTTTTGAAGTCAAGAGGATCAAACTCTTCATATACTCTGTTGAAATTGTATCTACACTTTTATCTTCGTTTTCAACACGGGGATTGTAGTCAGTACCACGTGGCAATGAATTATGAGGTGGAAATCTTCTCCATGAAGCTTGTCTTGTCTTCTCTGCATCCTCTGGTTCCTTTACATCACAAGAAAGAAAAAGGTGAGGATATGGCGTTAGAAAGAACTTATAATACACGTAGTTTTGAAAGATTTGTATAGGAATGAGTGAAATCATTTGATCGAAACTAGAATACTGTAGTTAATAATGAAAGACACCACGGCGAGTGTGTTCACCTGAAAAAGGCACAATTGAATGTATCTTCTTCTTCTAGATCTGGTTCGGGAAATGCTTGATAGAATTAGAACAACTTCACTCATAGTTGGTCTATTATCAGGATCCAACAGTAAGCATTCCTTTGCTAGGTTTGCCATTATATGCACTTCATCTTCTGGGAAGTTTCCTTTCAATTGTGGATCAGCCAACTCTGTCATTACTCGTCTACTATCCCGTAAGCGAGGAGTAGCCTAAAACAAAACAAGTTAGGCAAGCTATATCAGTATAATGAGTGTCCATAATCTATTTCTTAGTAAAAACTCATTAAACAAGCTATATGCAATGTTCAAGATAAAGTAGGTAACCATCATATTCATCTTAACTCAGGATAAGTTGATTCTAGGTGAAGGGGTGTCCGAGTGTCAGACACAGTTATAACAATGACACATCTCACATAGGTGGTTACACTTAATCATCTATTTTTCATATTAACATTGGTGTCTACATGTTAGTGTCGGTATTGTGGCCAGTGTGTGTCAGTATTTCATAAGTTGATTTACAATACCCATACAACAAGGCTTTCTTCTTTGCCTGCAGATCTAAGGATTGGTTGGCGACCAGTGATAAGCTCAAGAAGAACCACCCCAAAACTGAAGACATCAGATTCAATAGAGGCTCTCCCGACAATTGCATACTCAGGTGCAAAATAGCCAAATGTCCCTTTCATTCTTTCCGAAGAATCTGAACAGCTACGGAGGTCATCAGATCTCAAGTCTTTAGCCAGACCAAGATCAGTTATCTGCAAATTGATCGGTTAAAAAGTTTGTGTAAGGAAACTTCTGCATATTTGCATAAGGATCTTATTTGGATACACATAGAATATAGAACAATCAAGACTGATACTTTTGCTTGCCAGTTTTTATCGAGAAGAATGTTTGTTGATTTGACATCTCTGTGGAGAATTCTTGGAGCAGCCGCCTCATGAAGATACTCCAAGCCCCTTGCAGCTCCTAATGCAATTGTAACACGAGTAGACCAATCCATATTTTTTCCGAAAATTCCATCTAAACGGTCCCTCAAATTTCCGTTACTCATGTAGTCAAACACTAGTAATCTCTGAACATTTTTTCCTTTTAATTCTGAGCAGTATCCAATCAATGGCACCAGATGACAATGATGAAGTCTAGACAATAGTTCAATCTGAACAGACAAAAATATGTTATAGCCAAAATGAATGATATAGAAGAAAATAAGATAAACCGGGCTCTTTTTGCATAGCATGATTAACAAAAGATAACTAAATATTATAAAGAATAGGTGTAACCTCAGTGAAAAACTCAGTGTCTGCTTCAGGTCCTCCTTGAACTTTAAGTCGCTTGACTGCCACATTACTACCATTTTTCAGTTGACCACGGTAGACATAACTACTTCCACCTAATCCAATAAGATTGGAAGCTGAAAAGTTTTCAGTGGCATTTTCCAGTTCAGCAAACGAGAATTGAATAATGTTTCCATGAAAAGTTTCTCTTTGACTCCCAAGCAAAATAGATGCTTTTTGAAAGCATCCTAAAGAAAGAAAAAAAAAAGGTATAAAACTCGACAGCTTATATCAAATACCATTTAACTAAAAAATTAGAGATAGTGAACTCGAAAGCCATCTTACTTGTAATATAACTAATAGGAGAATTTATAACCCCTTTTGTTTCTGGCACAAAAGAAGTTTTGCGACTAATGAAGTTGCTAGTATTAATATAACTTGTTTCCCTAACTGATGATGAGTTCATTGGTGATTGAATAGGATGAGGCCTCTTCCTTCGACGAGCATAACATAAAAATAAGGCAAGAAATGCAATAGTTGTGCTCGTAATAGACATTACTAGAATGATTATTACAATTTTGCTTGAAATGTGAGACTTTGAACCTAATGACATCTTAGCAGTTCCTGCAGGACACTCAAAATCTAAAAATTAACTTCACAATAAAAAGTGATTTAGAATGAAAAATATCAGTTTTGGGGAAGCATCAAATAGTGAACTTTCTTTCAAGATGGAAGAAAAAGTGAAAGAAGGAAAGATACCCCAGATGTAGTTGCAGGCGATAAAGCAATTAGGATTATGGCTATCTGTTGCAACTTCAGGAAACCCATTTGTATCTCATATACATGTCCATATGGAAGCACTCTCTTCAGCATGTACATGAAATAAAAAAGTAGCAAACACAACAACAGTATTCAAAATGTGATCGCAGTATTCACCTAAAATGGTGAACACGTGGAGGTGGCAAATTTATCAGCACAAAATATAATTACTGGTATACCTGAATGGCAATCACATGACTTGGAACAATTTGCAATAGAGTATCTTCGGTTCTCTTGGAAAGAACATCTACATTCCCACTTGTTTAGACCAGTATCAGAAGGTTCATTTCCTGATAAAAACAAGCAAAAAGTAAAAAATTAAGAGTATCATTTATGGATTATACATGTGACTGAGGAGAAAAATGTACACCAGAACCTGTATGGACTTAAAACTACTAAAACATCATGCAATGACCACTATAAAAAGACACATCAGATTAGCTTTTCGTTATGCACTGGAAAAATATATTTAAAATGAATCTTACGATAAATCAAAGTCTGTTATATAGGTTTTTCCCGTTTAGGCATCTAAAGATAAGTAATGCACACGGTATCTTGCATATGAGTTGAAAAAACCGAATACCAAATGAATTATCAATGGTAGTACTAACCACAAAATGATTGCTGAAACCATAGGAAGCTAATAATAAGAGAGCAACAGAAACTCTGAGTTTATGCTTCATTTATTCCTACTCACACTACAAGCAAGCAAAATAAAAGGAAAATTTAGCTCTACATAAATCTAAGGGAAGCAATTTTCCTATGTCACGAAATCTCTTAGGTGATTCTTCAAAACAAATTCACGAGCCGATAGATGACAAGTACCATGCATGCAGAATATGTGAAAGAGAAAGAGACTTGACCTAATAATGGCTTCAATATGTTTAAAGTAGGAATAAACAAGAGCAACACAAATTTCAATATTTAAAATAAATACTACCAATCCACATATAATGAGCTCTTTAACATGATGCCAGAAAAACTCAAAACGTGTCCTTGTCTTGTAGTAAAGATCGTAGATTAATATTGGCAAAAAATAAAGGAAGAGGCATATGGTGAACCTGTTGAAGGGGAAGTAGTAAGCCTTCAAATTCTCCTTGATTCAATCATAATTTTTGTAAACAATATATGAACTAGTTAAAAGCACAAAGAAAAACTGCAATCAAGTAATCCAGAAGCAGAACTAGCACCTTCAAGTTTCAGTTTCAATATATGAACTAGCTAAAAGCACAGAGGAAAAAAAATGCAAGTCATTTCATACTGAATAAGGAGATAGGAATTTTTTTTTATGACCACAACTTTCACTTGTGAATGAATGTAAATAAGGAAATAGGATAAGAAGGAAGAAATGAATGCTTAGCCTATAAACACTGTATGGAATGGACCCTTAAACTAACACCAATCCACAAGTGACAGTGTCATGAGTTTAGAGTTTAAACATTAAAGGTTCAATAGAAGGAGAACACGTACATTCAAATTCCTCGACAGTAAATATAGGTAATGAGCTGTTAGAAGTGTAGAACTTCCTTTACGGACAGGTTGACAATTAGCTTCCATATAATCCAAGGCATAGGAATGGAAGAATGGAATTAACAACTACCAAAAGAACACATCTTTGTTTCCCTCTGTAAACTCTTGACAATGAGGAGTTTCCTGAAAGTGTCAACAAATGCTAGAAATTCGAAGTCGTCTTAGCAGAAGCATGTAAATCATAAGAGAGCAGAATGATTAGCATTTCTTAGAAAGCAAAAGCAAGTTTTGTTTTGTTTTTACCGCTTTCCTTGTTTTGGAAAGAAGTATTAAGTAACTAGTTCATTTAACTGAAGTGAAATATAGCAGAAAAACAGTCAAAGTTTAAAGTAATGGGAGGGAAGTCATCTTCACTATCCCGCATGTTATAATCACGTACACATAACATACCCTTTCATTCTCTTTCACAAAATGAAAGTAAAGTATGAATTCCCTAAACATCAATGTTGGTTAACAGATAAGAAAATAATTTGGAGAAGAACTAGCATGGCTAAACTCTATATAACAGGTAATATCCTTTAAAACCTTAACCACACTACTGAGGAAATGATCATTCAAGTTACCACCTTTCTGAAAGCAGACACTTGGCTTGCTGAAAAGGGCCCTTTAACACCTTCCAGATAAGTTAAATCAGAAGTAGGTTGACTTCTTTTGCTTTTTTGTCAATTACAAAAAATACCCTGCATACTTGCTTGCAAGTTCAGATTCTAGGTGCAGCAGCAAGAATTAAAAATTGAAAATATGAGGAACTTTCCAGTGAATTGTGTGTAAAATGATAGGGAAACAAGAGGAGTGATCCGAAGAATTTCTAGTCTCAAACCCAGTGGATACTGTGCTCAAAGTCCACTGACCTAAAAGGAACAAAAGGAGATGCTAAAATAGTAAATTGTGCAATAATAACTATGTTTAATCTCAGATAGTGTATCGAGGTATAGCAGTTAGCAGAATAGACACTATTGCAAAGTTTAAAAACCAGTCTATAAAATGAACATAAATACTCAAATAGAATACACAATTAAAAAGATCATGATACTTAATAGATAAAGAACTAAAAATAGACGATTGAAACAAAACCCAAATAAAGAAGGAAGAAGATAAGAATGTTTGTTTGCGAACATCGTAACGTTGCTCTTACAAGGATTCGGATCGAAATTTATAATCTTAAAAAATGAATTTGCATAATTTATCCCTGAAATTCTAATAGAGGGTACAAGATCAGACACCACAGTGGTTAGAAGCCGCAATTAGCAGCCGCTAGTTGATATCAGCAAGCGGGCAAAAGTCCATACCACCGCTATGCTATTCTGCTTTAGCAGCTATTATTGACAACATAGAATAATAAGTGTGTCAATAGCTATTATGCCATACGCTAAAAGATATGATAACAGCAATCATGCCATATTAAAATGAACATTTTGATGTAATTGTATTGAATTCAAATCCAGAACTGCTTTTTGTATTGAATCAACTAATAAAAGTACATACGTTAATGTATGCTGCTGGAACAAACAAAATCGCATGAAACAAAAGACTATTGTATTTGTAAAACCAGCAAACACCAAGGTATGTAGTTAACAAAAGGAAGAGCACCACTAATGAAAAAGAATCAGAAGAATATCTCATGGAGCATTTACAATTTAGAATGTCTAAAATAATTTCTTTTCCTTCCTACTATCTATCTAACTTTAGAATTAGGATAAAAGAAGAGAACTAAATCTCTACAGAACAGTAAAATTTCCATTATTATTTTCTTTGCTTCCTGCCATTAAAGGATTTAGTAGGTCGTAGAATATTTTCAGATTGTGGAGTCCTAGGTCGTAGAATATTTTCAGATTGTGGAGCCCCAACAAGAAAGGTTTGGGAACGTGTAACCATGTCAGCCATGACAGAAGTTTGGTATGATTGCACAAAGCTGGTGGAGTATGTGGAATCACCTCTTGCAGTTGCTCTTTGCCCTAAATGACAGCTCATCCCTGATAATACATAAGCTCTTCCAGAATGTTCGTAAACATGTTGATTTGCCATTCTCTCCTGCATCTCCTTTAGTTCAGCAGAAAGAGAAACACATAACGTATCGCCGGCTTGAGCAGAAAGAGTTTCAGATAATTCCCTGTGACATGTTTCAAGGACAGAAATGGCAGAAGTCAAATCACCACACTCTGCTTTGACTCTAGCCTCAGCCATTGCCTCAGCAGCATTTAGTCTATTCCTTTGCCTATCTACTTCTATTGATACAACTGGATCTCTAGCCTCATTAGGTCTCTGAATCTTCACTTCACTTGTTGCATCCAAACCCTCCACTTTTGTGATGGGGTTACTATAGAGACACGTAACTGTCAACAGTGACATCTCATCACTAGATTCCTCAACTGGAACATTGAGTGTCACTAAAAAGTCTCGTTCTTCTTCAGCATACAAATCTCCTACCTTTATAGAAGCCATTCCTGCATTGTTAGTCAATGTACTTTGGTAACTTCCTGTTTTTACCGAGTTAAGTTGCAAACGAGACTGAGCACACCGAACTTCTACATGTAGGTCTTGAACCACCACACTCAATAGTCCCCCAATACACTGAGCGAACGCATCCTGAATCACTTCCTCAGCTTCAATAAAGGAAAATGTGCCTCCAGAAATCTCAGAGATGGAATGCATCAAAGTAGCATCATGATCAACACCAAAACCAAATGCATGCACGGGTATGTTCAAACCTTCACCGTTATTACGATGAATGGAATTTGGAACAAGAGAGTGATAACCTTCTCCATTACGAGTCTGGATACAAATATTAAGGGTATCTTGTCCATCAGTTAGTAACATGATACCGCACACTGGATTCTTCCATCGACGGTCAACAAATACCTTGACTCCTTTCTCCAATCCTGCAGCAATATCTGTTCCACCAGTTGGAGCCAAATTGTTAACTACATGCAATGCCTGCTGGCGTCCAGCATCATTCATCCGTCGTAGAGGGAAAATGCGGCGGGCTGTTGAGGCGAACACAATGATAGAAAGACGGTCTGAGGAACTTAGATTCTGTATGACAAAACTCATAGCTTGTTTTAGCAACGCAATCTTTGAACCTGTCATGCTACCACTTACGTCAAGAACTGTGACAAGATCAACTGGAGCACGAGAGGTCTCAACTGAAGATTCAATGTTGCTCCTGTCACTGTTGTCTTTGTGGGGATGAGGGGGAGCCTTAAGGTGAACCAATACAGTAAAGTTTTCATGAGAGTCTGATTTTGAAACAGCTGAAACTTCAGGAAATGTTGTGATCTCCATTGTATTTTCAATGCTATGATCCACATCATTGACATGGTGAGTAACTAAAGTTTGCTGATCCAAGAGTTCATCATCATCATCAAAGATAGCTGGTTCCATTATATTATGACTATGACGTGGCGAACTCTGCCGAACTGTTCCATTTTGCCGTGAGGAAGAAAGTCTCCGTAGTATACCTGACCAAGTGTCAGCTCTTGGTTCAGAGGTGTCATGAGAGACATTAGATGCAGTATTCTGAAAAGGAACTTCTTTCCATTTTGCTCTGCAAACAGGGCAGATCTGATTCCCATGTCTCACATTAGATGTGATGCATTGGAAATGGAAAGAGTGAGAACATTCTGCAGTAAAAATGGCCTGCCCCTGCCCTGGTTTCATTGCGTTCAAGCATATTGCACACACTCCCTGCAAATGTAAGAGAAGAAGAAAATGTGAGGAAAATAAAACCCTGAGTACTAACTTTAAGGACAACTGATTTACAGATATATAAAATTTTATAAAGTTTCCTTGTAGACTTTCCAAAATCTTACATCCTTTATACACCCACAAACCAAAATGGAATAAAATAAAATAAAATAAAAGAACTGTGTTAATATCATTTAAAGCACCGTTTAAAACTGTATTCAACAATGCTTAGTTGAATCCAACCACCATGTTGATGTCATCTAGCTCGTAGAGCATTACCTGAATGTAATTTAGACAACAATGCTATGTGTTTCGAAAGCTTAACGACCGGTCAGTATTGAAAAAGGAGGGGAAGGGGACAATCTATTCAGTAAGCAAGCATCGTATAAAACACAACAATTTTAATACAAATTAAAAAATAGTTTCTTAAATCAGTTTAATTAATGATTATTTTAAGGTAATATTAAATTATTTTTTTAATATTTAAAATGTCAAATATTGTATGTCATACATCTCTTTTCAAAATCCAGAAGGTGAACAATTATGTATCCGTAGATAAATACAAAAATCCCCATTAGATTATTTTGTCAAAAACTGACCCCCCCCCCCCCCCCCCCCCCCTCTTGTCTTGATGCAGGTCCACCACAAAATCCAGTGCATAAAAAAGTTGAAATAGAATTCTATCTTTACCAAAAACGCCAACACTATTTACATACCTAATCACGTCAACTAGAGGATTCCCTAACAAATCTACAACTTAAGTACTTCCTCCGTTTCAAAATGAATGGCGTTTTAGCAAATAAATTTTATTTCAAAACAACTATCATTTTTACTTTACAATGTAATAATAATTATTAGTTTTTCAATTGTATCATTTACTTTTTACTCTCTACACTATTTTCAATACATTAATAAGGTTAATTTTGTAAAAGTGTAATGTTTTATGACAACATTATTGCATTGTTTAATTTGTATGTAAAAACCTTAAAGGACAGTCATTTGAAATGGAGAAAGTATTAAGTTTATTCAAAAAAAAAGGAAAAAGTCAACGTTAGATGGTCATACATAGTGAGGACATAAGGGAAAAACTGACAACAATCAGCCCACAATTTATAGAAAAGTAAAAGTGATACGCAACTCCAACATTAATTGTACATTTGAAACTTTCGATAAATTAGAAAAATAAATCATAAATAAATAAAAAATATCATCAAAAGAAAAATCAAAGTTGATTCCTTCATTTACACTCATAATTCATTCCAAATACCCAAATCAACAAGTTTACTCCACCCCAATCCGTTCCCTTCTAGTATTACATTTCCTCATAACTCATTCCATTCAAC